AATTAAGACTAATCAAAATATCTAACAGTTTCCAACAGGAGGCCTCTTAGCTTGAATTTGCATTAAAAACTTCAATCACAAATCAAGAAAATAACAAGATTTCTATCATTTTGATAACGATTTTAAAATTTCGAATATTGTGACAGTTGTGTGATGTTGGTTTGGGTATGGTGATCATCATTATAGAATTTATTTGTTTTTTCTTAGGTCGCAATCAAGGTCATTCCCAAGAGCAACGTATACTCTTTTGATGAGGTATGTAGGTTTGTAAGTTCTTATTCAAACGTCTTATTTAACGAGTGCAAATTTTTGTTTTGCGAGGGAGTAACGGAGGAGAGGCGGGGAACGTCCGTGGGGTGTCTAACGCCCCCCCCCCAAACGAAAATTACAGGGGGTATAACTTCCCGCCCCCCCTCAACATTTCGGTGTAGACATTTTTGCGGTATGTGGGTTGGTAAATTATTATTTAAACGTCAAAATTTTTCATACGAAAGGGTATAACGGAGGAGTAAGAACTCCAGTCCACCCGAAAAAAAATGAAAGAGGGAAGGGGCTCCACGCCCACTGCATTTCGGTGCGGAAATTATCGCAGTCGCAGCAACAAAAAATTCAGCATCTTGATCTTTCCACAAATGATTTTATCAGAACCGCTTGGCTCGGTGTCTGATATAAAGCTGAAGTTATTTTCAACTTTTTCCTTAGGAAAGTGAAGTTCCAGTTCCAATGGAAGTCCATCTTCATAGATTTCTTGATCACCCAAACGTCATAAAACTTCTCGACTACTTCGAGCATGCGCAGGCGTATGTGATGGTGCTAGAGAGACCCAAGTACCACAAGGATCTTTTCGATTACATCACTGAAAAGCGACGACTGGATGAGAACGAGGCGAGAAACATTTTCCGCCAGGTAGTTGAGGCAGTGATTTACTGTGAAGCAAAAGGAATCTTCCATCGTGATATCAAAGATGAAAATATTTTGCTTGATTCTATAACTGGGCAAGTGAAGCTGATTGATTTTGGTTCAGGGACGGTGCTTGAGAACACTTTGTACACGGACTACGAAGGTCAGTTTCAGAAAACTTAAAAATACCACTTTCCATGACTACTATGACTGCTATGACCACTCAAAGAAAAAAACATTCAACTAGCGAGGTATTGCACCTTTCAACTCTTTAAAAACGTATGTAGAAGAGATACCAGTAAGTTGCAACCTTTTTTTGCGATCGATCCAAAATTTTGCGGGAACGATCCAACTTAAACACTAACGTGAAAATTAGGCTTTCACACGATTTTCATAAGAGCGCTTTGATTGCAACGACCAGCAGCGTTCTTGACGACTTTTTTTTGCACTAAACTATTTATCGCACGACCCGTAAGGCTCCGCGCGCGCACGGCCAGAAAAAGTTGCACGGCTCCAGGAAGTTTAGCGGTCAAATGTGAAAACACTTATTGTAGGGCTGGATGGCGAAAACAATAGGATGTCGGTCATAACGTGTGACCTTGCTGCGCTTGGTTTGTACTTCATGATCTCGAGTCAAATATTTTTCCGTACAGTCCTCCTACTCAGTCAATAAGTAGATATTTTTAGATTGACTTAATGTTCCGCTCGGAGTTGAAACTCTACTCTGCTAAAGTTGCTCCCACCACAAGGTTCAATTATCCGACAGTGTTTATGAAATTCACCACAAAGGGGAAAATTTATTCATCTCACTTTGTGCTGTGCAGTGAACAGAAATGAATGGTACACAACTTCAAAACGCACGTGCAAACCTTTGGTAGCTAAACCCTTTGCTTTGGGTATTCCAACGGACTTGACTTTTTGTATTAGACTTTACAAAAATTGTTTTGGTAAAAACTTCATCCTTTAAATTTTAAACAAAGCGAAGCAAATTATGGAGCAGGTCCAAGGAATAGGAGACCAAGAGATTTCTATAGTTGAAAGTTAAGATCAAAGTATGAGCACTTAATTTTGGTACGCGTTTTCTTCTGTCACAATTGAGAGTTCCGTAAAGACGAATCTCTTGTAACGGACACTTTTGAGATATTACAGCTCAACCTCTTTCTTCACCTTGATAATGGTCCGTTTTCTGGAGCCCCTGAGATTAATTTCTAATGAGATAGTCCCACAAGCGGCCAGTCCACGAACACTAACCAAAATAAAACGTTCATATAGCAAACCTTAAAGTGAAGTCATGATCTTGTGTTTTTCCTCAAGGAACTCGAGCCTACTGTCCTCCGGAGTGGTTTCGTTTTCATCGCTATTACGCACGCCCAGCCACCGTATGGTCACTGGGAATACTGCTGCACAACATGATCGTGGGAGACGTGCCATTTTCAAACGAAATAGAGATTGTAAGAGGCGAGTTGAATTTCCCGGATGATGTCAGTAAAGGTGAGTGAATGAGACAAAAAGATAATCTAAAGAC